CGCATGAAATTAGGGGGCTCACCTAAATCCAATGCTCTTACGCATGAAATTAGGGATAAGGACGAATTGTTGTGTATGGAGGGGGGCAAAGGTCTTATTAGCATTTTGCCATAGAGTATGTTTGGATCTGGACGTAGTATATTTTTCTTTCGGGTGTTCCCCTCATTCTAAGCTCTGCTCTAATGGGCTTGTACGTGTCTTCATAGACTCTTTTCTTCTTAATATAATGATGCACATTAAAAAATAATAGAAGTAGCACAAAATCAGGAAGGCATTCAATAATTGAGAATATATAAATTGACACCATGGCATGAAAGGAACTCACCATTGTCTGCCGCATCCCGTACCAGATGTGATTTTTCATGCCCAATTGACCAGCTCTGGGTCTCACCGCTGCTCGCTGGTTAGGGTGTTGAGTCAAGGTCGGGTTTGCCCCACATCTTTGCTTGTTGTTTAGTTTTCTCCAAAGTTGGGATGGTGGGAGCTGATTGGGCCTTTGGTGGAGAGAATGGAAGAAGGTTGGTTCAGGAGCTAATTGGGCAGGGATACACTTGTGCTTTTGTCGAATTATTATTTTTTGTGTATGCGTATATTGTACATAGTTAATCACTGTTTTTGCCAAAAATAATGGGCGTACACATGTCCACCCACTTCTTACAGTGACTACACCCCTGATATTGGGTGATGATGATAAGGACCATTGTAAATCAACTCCCTCTTCAGAGATGGAGTGCTTTGGCCCATTGCATGAGGCAGCGGGTAAGGGAAGATTGGAGACTTGCAAATACTTGGTGGAGCAGATTGGGTTTGACATCAATGTTGATGCCAACAATGATTCGGGTATGTGCGTGTTTTCTTGCTAGATTAAGTGTTTTCATGTTTTCATTAATTTGATTTAGTTTTTTTTTTTTGCTAGTGTGTAGTGTTGGCATGCTATCATTATATATGGCATGCAAACACTGATCATGTGGGTTCATTCTTGTTATATATGCATATATACTTTTCCCTGTCCTATTTTTTGTTTGTTTTGTTTACATGATTTTTCCTCTTTTGCGACATTTTCACTGTTCTAGTTGCCCGATGTAATGTGTTTTCTGCCCGTAAAGTCCGTTGATAGGTTCTTTTGTGCACACACTTTCTCAGGTGACTTGGTCAAGCTAAATGTATTTTATGAATTCGATTTTCTTCTCTGTTTCTTTACAATATGTGACCATGAGTCCGTACCTGATTTTGAGAACCCCCCCTGTAAATGAATGCTTATGATTTCTGAATGACAGTCCCTTGTCCATATGCATCTGCAAAGTGATTTCTGCTTTTAACATTGCATCAGATAGTTTCTTGTAAATTTCTGATGGAAAAGGCCCCCTTTGTCATGTAAACTGTGTTGAAGCGTGACTTTTTATAGATCCAAATTGTAATTATGGTTTGGTATACTATAAATCTATGATGCGTTTGTACTTCGTAGAACTTTAATGCCTTGCATTATGCTGTGATAGTCTCGTACGATGTGTATGTATGATCGGATTAAATTGCTTCTTTGTAACACTTTGCAGGCATGACACCTCTGGCTTGTGCAGTGTCACATGGTAAATCCATTGCTGCGAAGTATTTGCTTGACAAAGGTGCTAATCCTGATAAGCAAGACAACAAAGGCTTTACTCCTCTGCACTACGCTACAAAAGAAGGTTCTCTTTCTGCATCTATTAACATTTGGTATATTTATTAATTGTTTGATCACAAAAGAAAGGTACCAACATTACTATTCTTTATATGTTGAAGTTCTGCCTGATATGGTTACTGATGGCCATCATCACTTTGTTTTTGGACTGCATATTCATCTGTCTGTACTTAAACAGTGATAGTACATCATACCGATTCAGATTTCCCCCTACCTTTTTGGTTCTTTGTACTATTCGATATGACATTGAATTCAATCGTGCATTTGTCATGTGCATTGGGGTATTTGTGTGTATCTTGAATGAAACACACATCACTTGAATGATATACTCCTGATCTATTTTTTTTGTTCTTCCTAAAATAAGAATGTCTAAAATAAAATATTGTTCTTAATGCCACTGCATACTTTTGTTTTTCCTAGGGAAGGACCGACTGGTTCGACTCTTGCTATCTAAAGGAGCTAGTGTTGATGTATTCTCTTGTGAAGGGACGCCACTACATGTTGCTGCCTCATATGGGAAGGCTGGCATCATGCAGATTTTGTTGCAGCACAATGCTGATGTAATGGGTATTTTATTTTTTATGTAGTTGAGGAGCATCACTAACATATCTGTAGACTAATTTCTCTTCTACATGTCAAATGACCCCTTTCCCTAAAAACTTGTAGCCAAACAGGGTCTCAGCAGATTTAGGTACACCCATGGCTGCAGTTCTTTGTGTTGCTTCTGGAAGAATTAGTGAGTCTGCTGCTTTGAAGTGCATGAAGCTCCTTGTCAAGGTCTGGTATACAACTTTTTGTTTATCTTCACTGGTAGAGGAATCCAATGTGGATTATTCACTGGATTCCTGTATTTTATGGAGCTGTGTAAATATCGACAAATTCATATGATACATTACTTGTATCCACAGGCCGGTGCTGATTTGAACTGTACAAATCCTGATACTCCATTGGTTATGGCAACTAGCAAATACTTGTCTGAATGTGTTGAGTACTTGTTGGAGGTCGGCGCAGATGCCAATATTCCAAGCAATCATGTAAATTCTTGACTCTTGCAAATTGCTGTTGTTACTTGATTGTTATTCTCCTTGGCACTTTTTTAACCGACATTCTGGTGTTGATGTTGTGTTGCCAACTAGTGGAGCATGGCAGGGAAATATTGAATATTCATTATTTCTGATTTAGTATGTCCTGTTGTTTTTAACATGCTACTAGATGGACCATATGTCTTCTGTTGACACATATTCTGATTATGCTCTATGGATATATCCATCTTGTTTTTTTTTTCATAACAGGGCCATATGGCACCAATAGAAATTGCTGCAAAATCTGGAAGGAAAAAGCTTGTGGAGATTCTATTTCCTTTCACTTCACCCATTCAATCTATGTCCAATTGGAATGTTGAAGGAATCATTGCCCATGCAAGATTAAGGCATTCAGAGAACAAGGTATGAACTAAATTTTTACTATGAAGCAAGATGCCTGTTGTTCATTCTCGTTAGTCTTGACCATGATCTTTCTCACTAAATTTTGCTGGCAGATAAATAGAAAAATTGTAGAAATGTAAGTGTAGAACTAACATTTACTTGGACATCGTTACCTAGTTTATCCGGAAAACTTTTTTAGAAAAGAGACTTATCGAGCATAAGTTCCTGCGAAGACGCTATCAGTCAAAGAAAGGAAGGAAGTCATAACACACTTTAGAGAGAAACTTTGCCCAATACTCAATAGGATCTCGATACAGAAATTGGAACAGAATCCTAGTAACTGCTTGAAAGAAACCAAAATAGAAATATGTTGTTCATGGAGATAACATTGCGACATTTTCTCGCTTCAAGCCTGTCAAGTATGTTTTGCTGTGGATATGTACTCACCATTTTTGACCAATTTTAAGGTGTTGTCATTGCAAAAAATGTTCAAAGCTGTAGTCTGGAGAGGAAGTACGTACCAATTTTAAGGTGTGTTTTGCCGAAGTGCTTAAATTTTGCTAGTTTGAGTTTTGTAAAGTTGTACATTAAGTTTACTTTTTGTGTATTTGTCATGGTGCTTAATCACCGTGATTCAGGGTAAGCAAAGTGATAAAGGTAGCCGGGTTAGGCTTAAATTGAATGCAGAAAAAGGCAACCATGAAAGGGGACAAGTTATATCATTGGACATCTAGCCTCGGAAAGCTGCATTAGATACATACTGCTAATATGCATAATTTTTTTAATGGTATAGGACAAGGGAGGTGATAAAGATAAGAAGACTGAGCTAAACTTACTTGGTGCAAAAGCAGTCGAGCGGAAGGACTATGCTGCTGCATCAAAGTTCTACAGTGAGGTAATATATTGTTGCGTGGTCATACCTTCCGATCAGAGCGCTCTGTTGGTTCCATCATTTAACTTTGGCATGAATGCAATAAATTATGATTTTCTATGTGATTCTGGGATAACGGGTTGTGCTTGTTATGATTTGGTTTGATGCAGGCAATCAAAGTGGATCCTGCCGATGCAATGCTGTATTCAAATAGGAGTCTATGTCATCTAAAGAGTGGTGAAGCATATGCTGCTTTGCTTGATGCTAATGCTTGCATAAGGCTGCGAGCTGATTGGCCAAAAGGTCACTATCGGAAGGGAGCTGCCCTCATGTCGCTCAAGGTGAGATTAAATTGCAATTTTCTAGTCGTTTGCTGTTTTACACTTCACCCACGATGTAGATAATCTGCTGCTTGTGTTTATCCTTAGAGGTGTAAGGAAGCATGTCATGCATTCTTGACTGGAGGGGAGCTGGATCCTGCAAATGTGGAGATACGTCAAGCATTTTGGTATGTTTTTTAATCCGAACATAACTTTATTTTTTTGTTTCCCTGGAAAATGCAAAAAGAAAAAATGCGCCTTGATAGAATTTTTTATATATAAGACCAAAGAAGAGTGACACCCGAGAAATACAACACCACACTATTGAAATATATTGCCCGTCTCTCTCCATTAGTTCGGACTTTTGAATGAGTTGGCTGGAGCATGAATTCAATATGATATCTGAGCCAAGAGGTCTTGAGTTCAAGACCTTGCCAACACAATATTTAAAAGAAAAATTCATTCTGTGGCCTACATCTCTCCTTCACTTCAGATTCCAGATCCACCAAGCTGTGAGCATGATCACTGAAGTGGTTCCCTTGCGCAAGCATGTCGGGTCGATATGATAGGATGACCTGCTGCCACCAATCCATAAAGGCATCTCCTCTCGAAACAGGCTTTCGCCCTGCTTTATATATAAACAACAACCGAACAAAGTGCACATTTGATACAAGATAGTGATGTGGCCCTCATAAAACACTGATCCAGGGATAACTGGATCACACAGGAAGAAATCTAATGGTTGTAGCCGCGTGGGGGACCTGTGTGCATCGAGGAAGAAATCTAACGGTTGATACTATTCGAATCGGAGGGCTGGCGCTCGACCGGCCAAATTTTGGGCCGGACCGCCGGCGCCTATCAGTTGCCTTTAGTGAAAGCCATGTTGCTGGGCGAGAATGTGGATGAGACTAATTAGGGTGGAAGCGTCTGTCCTCTTTGGCAGCAAGATCAACAATTCCTCTAATTAAGTCCCTAAAACCACACACATTGAGTAAGTGGAGCTTCGTGAAGGTGGCAAGCATGCCAGCCTTCATAATACCCTAGCATGACTAGAGGAACTCGACTATGAATCTGTCTAGACCAGGGTCTAGCTGCGGTGTTGGTCTCTCACTAAAAGACTATGAATATGGTGAAATTAAGTCTATATTGTGCTAAGCCTTTTAGGTAGTTTATATGGTGTACGAGGATTGGAGGTCAAGAAATCTCTTGTAGAGATAAGGTAGGGGGTGGATTACAAATCCTATACTGCCAAATGCAGAGAGATGCCTATAACATCTCCCGTTGGTCGTAGCGGTAGCATCACAAACAACTCGAGTGTCATGGATAGTCAGACTGGAGAAAACCTTAAGGTAGAAACCAACCGGCTGACATCCTCGGCGGTCATAATGGGAGTGTCGTGGATAGTGCCGCTCTTGCATGCCTTTTTATTTGAGGAAACCGATGAGGTGCTTAGGCAAGACGATAGCCCTTTGTGTTAATGTTGAGGTAGCCGAGAGTGCATGCCGTGTAGCTGTGGCTGACGTAGCTGCACGAGGGGACACTAGTTGATGTAGAGGACTAGGTTGACGGTGTCGAGGTAGCCGCATGTGAAGCCGTGGGTGCAAATAAGCACATGGAGTTGTAGGCGCAAGGATGCGCTGATAGAAAAGATGGGGACGCGATCCAAGTAGTCGTCAAGAAGGGTGTAGATGACGATTTTGATGTTGTCGAAGCCGTTAGAGACGAGTTGCCAGATGGAGTTTCCAGGCCTAGGGACACATCGAGGAAGAAGACATGCATTGTGTTGTCAGACGTGCATAGACGGGTACCATCACAAACTATTTGCCAAGTCAGAGAGAATCGCATTAGGAGGCTTCCAAGACAAGTGTGGTGTGGTGTGCAGGGAAGGAGAGTGCTGGTGCAGGCCATGATTGCCGGAGTAAACAAGGTGTTGTCGGGTCCAAGGTGATGACATTGGCTAGGAAGTTGTGGTGGACAGACAAAGGTGTAGACAAAGGTGTAGTCAGCGGAACCACTAACTACGGCCGCGCTGATTGCGTGTAGAAGCGTGGTGGTACTCAAAGTAGGCGAGGTAGAAGATGATGGTGTGATGAAGACCATGTCCAAACGGTGGTGATGCCATGTCTAGGGATGCCCATGGCGGTAGCCAAGGGAGACCTCGTTTTGCAAGAGTGGCGAAGATGACCGGGTGCGGTGTCACTGTATGATGATAATCAAGATAAACAAAGGATAAGCAAGATAAACAACAGAGGTAAACAATCACAAACTACAAAGCTTTGGTATAACCAAGGAAATAAGGTAAACCACAAGGTAAGTAAGGTAACCAATCACGAGTGATACACCCTATATGACGATAAGCAAGATAAACAATCACAAGTGACAAAACTCTGGTATGAAATAATCGAGGCACACATACACGAAGATGTATCCTGATGTTCACTTTCTTGGGTGGAAGCTAGTGACCATTGGAGAGGTGTCGGCAACACCAAGTACACTCGACGCCACAAAGCCTCACCTTCTTCTCCTTGAACCTCGCACAAAAAGTAGGAGTTCAATCACTGGAGGTTGTCCTTGAGTTGACCACCAAACCTTCACAAACACTTCCCGGAGCTTTCCACACCTTAAAAGCTTCCAAAATGGGCTCCTACCGCCTAGGAGTCCCCACAACTCCGAGAGAAGAAGTTTGGCGAAGCACAAGTAGGGGATCACGATTTTGGTTTGGTAGAAAAGTAGATCTAGGGTTCCTTTTTGATTTCACAAAGTTTGAGCAAGATAGGTTGGAGGGAAAGGGGGGAAGCAAGCCTTGTCAAGGTCAATAATGGGAGGCAACTCTGATCCAAAGTTGGGGTTGTAGGTAGAAGGGGTGGCTTTTATAGCCGCTCCGCCCCACCCACCAAATTCCAAAAATTATCGACATGGACTTACAATCTCAAAGATAAGATCTGGTACAAGTGCAGAGTTATGGTCCATCCAATCGCGAAACCACCAGCCCAAAGATAAAACCCAGAGCTTCGGGGTTTAACTCCGGAGCAAATCAAGAGCTAGGAGACAAAACCCGGAGTTCCGGACCTTAGCTTCGGCTTGTCCAGAGAGGCTGGCACAGGGAAACTTAAGGTGAATGTTGTCGTGTAGGTTTAGGGTTTGACCTTTGTGGTGGACATGGCATATACTTTAGTGATCTAAACGATCCTATATTTCTTTATAGAGGGAGTATATTTTAATATTGTGATCCACCAACTTAAAAGCCACCTCAACCCCTCTTTCTAGTGTGGCTTTTCCTATACTCAAAGAATCCAAAACCTCTTGGAAATTACAATGCA